TATGTATGAGTAAACCACCCAAAATACTGTATGTATGAGTAAACAACCCAAAATACTGTATATATACGAGTAAACCATCCAAAATACTGTATATATACGAGTAAACCACCCAAAATACTGTATATATACGAGTAAACCACCCGAAATACTGTATATGTATGAGTAAACCACCCGAAATACTGTATATGTATGAGTAAACCACCCGAAATACTGTATATGTATGAGTAAACCACCCGAAATACTAAGGTATATGGTTCACAGTTTGTTAACATACAAGATCAAGCTTGCTATTCACATATAATTTTGAAGCTTGAAATATCTCTACTGTCTGCTTGCTTCATATGCTGGTGGTTTGTTTGTTTTTATTTCGTGCAAAGCTACTCGAGGGTTATCTGTGCTAGCCATCCCTAATTTAGAAGTGGTAGTCTAGAGGGAAAGCAGCTAGTCAACATTACCCCCTGCCAACCCTTGGGCTACTTTATTACCAACGAAAAGTGTGGGATTGGCCGTCATATTATAACACCTCACGACTGATAGGACGAACATGCGCAGTGATGAGATTCGAACTCGCGATCCGCAGATTGAGAGTCAAGCGCACTGACCGTGCTAGTGGTAAACCAGAGAATAAGAAGAGTTAGTGTTATGGTATTAGCGTAATTCTTCCCTCTGTTTCATAAACTTAATTCAATTAAATAGAAACTAGGAAGACAGCGAAAGAAGAGAGGTGTCTCGAATCGTAAAGATTCTTTATATGTTCTTGCGAAATTAACGAGTCTTTGTTTGACTCAATTCGATTTGCTGCTTGTTCTGTTCTTACTGGAGTTACTAATACTTTTTTTTTGGGGGGGGGGTTCTACCGTTAATTATCCAGGTATGTTTACTCAATTATCGAAAACTTCGGTAAATTACCTTGTTGTTTATTTCTTAGTCCTAAACAGTGTTATTTTCAAAATAAACTGAGCTTACCACGTGGCTTTTAAAGGCCCGCTGTCCAGTGCAACACGGATAATGTAGAGAACACAGAGCACTATTTTGATTACTAAATTGAAGATCCGTATCCTCAAACCTGTAAACAAAGAATAAAATAAATTACATTCTTTATTCTCGAAGAACAATGAGGTGTCCGCTGTAAAAAAACACCACAGGTTGTAGTACATAAGTTTTACACAGGTTGTAGTACATAAGTTCTAGTTCTTGAATGAATATAAGTTCAAGTTGAAATTATAACAATCATCGTGGGCTAACAAATAATACACAAGTGGATACACAATATTTGTGTTGAATTCTACAAAACATACGTACATATAATGACACTACTAAATTAAATCATTTCGTAGGACATTTCAAAAAATTACCTTAAATAAAGTGCGATTCGATTCCATTATGAGCTACACTTAAAACATTAAAACATGTCTTCACAAGATAACAATGTGTTGAATAAACACAATTTCGAACTTAAAACCACACGTCATTCGTGTTGTTATATCATTACAATTTGTATACAGTTGACGCAGTTCTATGTTCGAGGACAAACTTTGTGTTGTCGTGAAATAACAAGACACTTGTGCTAATTTACAAAACAAGTTGATTCAGTGTAAGAATCACCCTTGAGTTACAAGTATATTGGTGTTTTAAGTAATTCTGTCACGATGTAACTCATCAGTAAACATAAAACATTCCTCCGTTTTTTAACATACACACTGAGAAATATTCAGCCTAATCCACCCCTTCATAAATTATGTTCGATAATAGCACTGTTCACGGTGATGTATTTATATTTGGGGTGAAGTATTTAAACATGAAGAATATCCTCAACAGACATTGATAGAGTTGTCAGGTATACACCATGAAAGGAATGATGTACATTCTAGGTTAACACAAATCAGGAGACAAACCTTCGTGGGACCAACCGCGACCCAGTGATAAAAAAACAACACAAAAAAACGTATCCTAAAGCCTGTAAAAAGAATAGTATAATTTACATCCTTGATTCCCGAAGAACAATGCAGAGTAGACTGTAAAAAACACCACAGCTTGTTGTACATAACTTCGAGTTCTTGAATGAATACAAGTTCAAGTTGAAATAAAAGACCAATCATCGTGGGCTAAAAAATGGTATATAACTATGGGTGCAAGTGGGTGGGTTATAAAAGAGAAGCTCAAATCCCACTATTCGATGAGAGAAATCTACGAATTGACGGTGGGTGGTGCGAACCTTACCTATAGTCTATCACTTTAAAATTTAGGACGGCTACCTGGAGTAGCTTTCTTCGAAATCCAACAAACAAGAGTAACTAAAAAACTTTTATATTTTGGTTTTGCAAAACATATCCTGATATATTAGGTTCCCATATTAGTGTACATTATGGTTTTTGTGCATATATTATAAAAACTCTTATAATAACTGTTTTTGGCCCCCGGTTGCTAAGCGGTAAGTCTCAGATTTTAAAAAATTGGGTTTCGATGTTCGCGGTAATTGTTTACGTGAGTGGAATACATTTTCTCTAGCTATTTTTGCAATTTATCACAAAATTCTAATCCACTAGGCCTTTAAATTTAAATGTATGTTTCTTGACCGAAGACTCTTAATAAATAATGACTATTTTTAGAAGCCAGATAATTTGTTGTAGTTACACAAGTACTTTAAGTAATACTGTTATGACTATTTTTAGAAGCCAGATAATTTGTTGTAGTTACACAAGTACTTTAAGTAATACTGTTATGACTATTTTTAGAAGCCAGATAATTTGTTGTAGTTACACAAGTACTTTCAGTAATACTGTCATGACTATTTTTAGAAGCCAGATAATTTGTTGTAGTTACACAAGTACTTTAAGTAATACTGTCATGACTATTTTCTTTACATATGCTGTGATATTGTACAGAACAGTTATGTCAGTGTATTTTATACAGATATGAAATATTGAAAGAAAACTCTTTTTGACTACAATATACGCTACCATATAAACATTCTGTACATTGTGTTTACAAAGTATATGTATATTATGCATGAATGGTTACGTATTAAAATGACAATTTCTAGTTGATCTCACAAGAGACTAAAGTAACCTGAGCACAATATGATAGATAATATTTTCTATGCATAATTACAAGAGCATGAATTGTTTTAAGTGACTGAAAATGAGCAACAGTAACTGGAATATCTGTAGAAAAACTTAACAAACATTTCAATTAAACTTGAATCCCAAAGTTGGTAATTAAAGCACGGTGCGGTTAATTTAGGTTTAGCAGATTTAGCATTAGGATGAGTTGTACTGATCCAGTTATGCTCTCTTGAGTAAATTTCAATCTCTCATTCGGTCAATTATTCTTTGCTGTATATATCAATCCTCACACCCACTCGCAAGCAGTCCGTTCATTCATCCAGCCACCCACTTAAACTCAATGTATCTATTAGATTAAATATATGTTTGTAACGTAAGCATGGTCTTGAAATATAATTAGCTTAGCTGTGATTTATTTCTAGGCTTTATGTACATTTTTGTAATGAACAAATATAATCTCTTCTACCATAGACGTTAGAGTCTGTTTTATTATATGAATCTGGTAACTCATAAGCAATATGCTAATGTACTGTATATCGTTTGTTTTTAACTTCACAATAAATACGTCAACGTTATTCACTTATTTTGCTACGTTCGAATCTCTCCAGCAAAATGGTGAAAATATCAATTACCAGGTAGCTGGTAATACTTAAATCTGTATTATTAGTGCAATCACATAAAAAAAAGTTAAAAAAATGGCAAATGTCATTAAAACTAATAAGAAAACTAAAACTTAATGTATTCAGTATCTCGAATAGAAACTCTTCTCAATTTGAATTAACCAATTAAAATATTTAACTTCAACTATGACACAAAACAAAATTAAAGAGTGTTTGGCTAACATATGAAACATATATCATATATAACGATCCGAGTTCTAGGGGGTTATAAATTATTATTATTCTATAGAAATACCACAGATTTGAAGGTTCGACAAAAATAAATTATTCTACAGCAATATGACCAGTACGAAAACTCGTTGGTGCATTCTAGAAGATATTATGGGAAAAGTTAGTTGCTGCTTTGTAGTAAAAGATGGAAACTAGAAAACCAACATTTGTAAACGAATAGAACATGTCTTCCCCCATCCATCTCACCTGACAAGATCGTCAGAATATAGTAGATTTAAAAAGAGAATGATATTCGAATTAACAGGGGGAAAGGGGCCCCCCAGTGGCACAGCGGTATGTCTGCGGACTTACGACGCTAGAAACCGGGTTTCGATACCCGTGGGGGGCAGAGCACAGATAGCCCTTTTGTAGCTTTGTGCATAATTAAAAAACAAACAAACAAACAAACTCAAGCTGATAGCGTTTATCTGAAGAATATATATATGGAGTAGTTTATTATCAGCTTGAGATTTGTTTGTGAAAAGGGTTGTGAACATTTTTTGGTGAGCACGCTAACTTGTGAACATATTATACGTAGGACAATTTGTTGCTGAAAATAGATTTATTCACATTGAAAATATACATTACAAGTAATTTTTGGGCAAACAAGGCCTATTCTTCGGCACTGTATGAGCAATTTCAAGCATTGTATGAATCAAAATACTTTAGTAACAACTTTTTTTATTACATTTGCATATGTAGACACTGTTTGTAGGTTCAGAGGTTTCTGTTACATCCAATTTGGATTTTTAACCGTGTAAAACCAAAATAAAGGCAAAAAAATCCAAATACGTTTGTGGGAGTTTGTCACAGTATATATTTTGGCAAAGTCTCATCTAAATTGGTCAAAATATAAAGAAATTACAGGCAAAAAAAAAACTCTTTCCAACACCTTTTTTACCTTTGACCGCTCTAAAATCACAAGAAAGGCACAAATCTCAAATATGTCTGCTTCAGTCAGTGGGAGTTGTAGTAGGGTATCTTTGATGGAAATGGAAGGGATCTGCAGACCAAAATTTGTTGTTGTATTTTTGCAGTGGTTAACCTGTAACCTTTTATAATCCGAATGGGGAACTAAATAAAAAAACAAACTAAACACTGTATGTAAGTATTGGATCTTGGAATATCTTCTCTAAAAGTTCAAAAAGATTGGCCCAGAAACAAAGAAGCAGCGACAATTGTAATTGTTCAAAGGAGGAAAGAAACATAGAAAATACGCCTCCTTCCCAACTGGGAGAAACATAATTACATAAATATGGTAATAAAGCTTGACGAAACGAAAATAGCAACGTAAGACCACTTAACCATGCTTTTACTATTGAAACAAAAATTTAACGTAATTTATCTGTCACGTAATATTAACTTTACTTCAGTCAAATCAAAATATTTATAATCACACAATCTTATATTGCTACGGCATATATACAGATATAGGATCTGTGACTTGCGCATCATGGTTACAAATATAGATTATATATGTATTTAAAGAGTCTAGTTGTGTAAAAGACGACATTTCTGCAATAGTTTACAGAAACCTTGAAGTATCAGATACTTAACATCATAGATATATCTTAGAAATTAATTAATATACATCATTGAAATTTTACAGTGCTTGCGTTTATTTGGATACAGTTGCATAGTGCTACTATAGCGTGCGATCTACCGGGACTTTTACACTATAGCGTGCGGTATGATCATCATATAAACAAAACATATAAAGATGTTGAATAATAGCAGTTTACCTGGAATATTTACACTGCTAAATAATTTATCAATGATGTTAACGATGAATAATAGCAGTCTACCTGGGATATTTACATTACTCAATAATTTATTAATGATATTAATGTTGAATAATAGCAGTCTACCTGGGATATTTACACTGCTAATTAATCTATTAATGATGAATAATAGCAGTCTACCTGGGATAATTTACACTGCTAAATAATTTATCAATGATGTTAACGATGAATAATAGCAGTCTACCTGGGATATTTACACTACTAAATAATTTATTAATGATATTAATGTTGAATAATAGCAGTCTACCTGGGATATTTACACTGCTAATTAATATATTAATGATGAATAATAGCAGTCTACCTGGGATAATTTACACTGGTAAATAATTTATTAATGATATTAATGTTGAATAATAGCAGTCTACCTGGGATTAGTTTACACTGTACAAATTAATTTATTAATGATATTAATGTTAGAATAATA